AATTAGGCCACTTTGATAACTAACGAATTAATTTGATATTAATGTCATATAATAAAAATTATAACGATAAAGTTATATGACCGAACATTAAAATTAATTAGGCCACTTTGGTGACTAAGGGCATGATTGTTTATCATCCCTATTGTAATTTTTTTTACTCAAATTCAAATTTAACTCAACTTTAACTCAACCCCACTATCTCCAATATTATTATATAATTAAATAACATCAACAAATCATTATTACATATCACATCAACTTTAATTCACTATTCATCCACTCACATAATTCTAACTAATTTTGACTAACTATCACTTCCAATCATTTTTCTCCTACTTTACATCAAATCAACTTTAACTATTTTATTTTAAATACTATTTTAATATATCCACTAACAACTAACCATACAACTTTTTTTTAAACTTAACCATAATTAAAAAATTCTAGTTTTTTTACTATTCAAACCATAAACAATCACCCCCTAAGCAACTCAAATTTCTTAATGATTGCTTCTTGTTTTACAAGAGAATGCTTTCCAGCGGTCCAAGATTTATTATTAGTTCTGATTCTGATAGTGGCCCAACCCGTCCACACTATCTATTAATGTAAATGAAGCCCAATCCAAGTTTGAGGAATATTGTTTTGGGCTGGGATCCTAATATTTTCTGTAGATTAAAATATTATGATCCAAACTAAAATTCCACAATCATTGCTTTGGTTGTCAATCTAAAAGTTTTGAGGATAAAGAATAAAATTTGGGCTGGTATGTTATCATTACTTTTTCACGAAATTACAAAATATATATGCATTACAATTTTTAAGTATTTATCATAAGCAATATTAAAATTTAAAAGTACTTTTATTGGTAGTTTAATATACGTACTATTATCGAATAACAAACAACTAATATTACCAAACATTATTAAAAATCATATGCATTTCGATGGTCAAAGATGCTACTACCATCAACTAGCCAAAACAGTGAATAACAGCTAACAAGAAGTATGATAAAAAAAAAAAAAAA